AATAAGCCGTGATTCCCAACCCCATTTTGTGGCCCCGCTATGGGCAAAGATATTCACTGCACAGAAACAGAGAACATTGCCATCTGCTTCTTATCTTAACAAGCCTCGCATTTAATTAGACTAGCCCTCGCAAATTGGAGCTCGTAAATCAAAGTTTTTGCAAATAATTAGATGGGACGACTAAAAAAAAATAGCGTGGTCGGTCACTGACCCCTCGGGGAGGCCGCGCACTAAAACAAAGATCATTCACCCCTCGCCCCTTCTACGCAACCCCCTCCCCTTCGTAACTTAATACCTCCACTCTCTTGTTCGCGCAGTTTCATGCGCGCAGACGCGCTCCGTCTACTTTACCCAGAGCGATTCTTCTCTCCAGATAATGTTATTTTTGTCCCACTTCACCCCCGTCTCCCCACCCCATGTGTCCTGATAAGGCGGTTAGAAGGGTTGTGCGCGGTGAGAGGTTGGAGAAGGTTATGCATGCGCGAGGGCATTGCCCCGCCGCAGCCAAGCAGTCGCGTCGCATGCACCTATCACCTAGACGCAATATCTGCAAGACCCAAAACATGTGCTTCTTTTAATTTTTTGAGGGTAAATAGGGGAAAGGGTAGATAGTTCCCATTCGATTCAGTATAAGAGACCGTGTGATGGTAGGGGTTAACTCAAAATTGAAAGATATTCTGCAGTAGGCCTATGTGTAACTTCTCCACGACACCGTGCAAAATTGTACCTCGGGTACAAGGAAGAATGTCGTACAATTATAATTCAAAATTTGTAAATTTACAAGCACTGCGTATGAACTGGGAATCGAATGACGAGAAAGAGTGGGAGGTTGTAGAAGTACAGGAGGGGGAAATCACTTGGGTTCGTAGCATACGGGCTATTTCTGCCATTTCGGTTATCTCACGGTTATTTCGCAGTATTTCGGGGATACTTCGCGACTATCTCGGGTCTATTTCCCTGTACTTCGCCCTTATTTCGAACTTAATATTTCGGGGGAAGGTGAGTGAACTATTTTGCGAGCGACTTCCCCCTCGGTTGTACATCTACAACCTACAACTCATTTTTAAAATGGTTAATTACAAAATATATCGTCGTAAATGTACGAACACTTTTCTCACAGTGGAAATAGACGCCATGTTAATTTATTCATATTGCTTTGCTTAGGCCGTGGTCGTTTCTGTCATGACACTATTTATGGTCTGCAACAAAAACGTCAATCTTGCCACGACAAGTTTGAATCGTAGGCACCAGTCCAGTCGCGTCCTTCGTCGTCGGAGCGCCGGGAGTGTAGGCTGTCCTGTCGCTCCGTCGTGTCTTGCGGGGTTGCCTAACCCGGAGTTGACAGGCGCTTCAGCGACTAACTCGGCCGCTGCACTGCCGGCTACAATGCACACATACCTTAAAGTACGCATATTTTTTGATTCGATGATGTGGCATGAGGAAAGCATGCAGTGCCGCAGTAAAGGAAATTCCACTTTTACTTTGAAATGTCTTCTTAGCGTACATTTTTGCGCGACTATATATTATGATGAATTTGATGCAGTAAGAACAATCTTGTCACACCGCGGCACATTGTAACAATAACCGGTATGTGACAATGAGTAACTGTTTACAGCAACATGGTAAATATAATGTCTTTTTTTTAGATGTAGAAATAGGGAAAACTTTGAGGAACTCTCCCAATTTTAGCCATTAAATTTGGGGAAGTCTCCTATTTATTTATTTTTTAAAGGGAAATTCCCACTTACGTTTTTTGAGATGACCTTCACAAAATCTAACGAGTACTCCTCAAACTGAAGAAGTTTCTCAAAGCTTTCCAATTTTCCTCAAATAAATCAGTCATTGCCTTTATCATGAAAACGTAGCTGATAGCATGTAGGGAAGCCTTTTTGCGCGCGGTGCCGTCTAGTCGCGACCGGAGAGCGAGATCTGAGACCCAAACCCGTCTTCCACAGCCCACCAAGATTTAATGAAGTTGTCGGCAGGGAAAGGAGCGCGCAAAGACTCCATCCCCACTTCCCCCTCCTCTCCGCACTGCGCTAGTCGGCGCGACACCGGCGTACGGTAGAGCGTCAAAGCATGCCGACCGCGTGGGAAGTGTTGGAGATGGTGACTGAAGAGAGTGAAAAGTGGAGGTGGCGGTGGAGGGGAGGGGGTCTGCGGTGACGCCCTCCATAAGCTGCGGGGCCGCGGGCCGTTTGGAGGTGTCGACCATCAAGGCCGCCGCAACAAACTCGAACAAAACACCTCTCGGCGCGCGGCTATTTCAGGTGAGAGGTCTAGTTGCTGGGGGCGTTTCCTTTTTGCCGACTTCACTGAGGGTTGTCACGGGGTCACGGGTCGTTCGACTAAAATTCTGACCGAATAAAGCACGAAGGACAAAAAATTGTTCTCAAGGTAGAGACTCTACCTGGTACAGTGGCCAAACCTTTTTTTGGATTGGATTTTGATATTCTCTTTCTCCATTCAACCACTAACCGACAATTATTAAGCTGGTGCTAAAACAAACCATCAGGGGACTAATCACTGAAACTCGAGAAGGGACCTAATTGACTTTGTTAATCTTGTTTAGTTATTGCAAGAGGAGCGACATTAAGTTGAGATGCTCGTTTAGAGAGTCCTTTATGCCACATTTTCGGTTTTGAATAACATTCATTTTGAGTTATTTTCCCGAACACATTGCTTTTGCAAAAGTAGGATTATACTGCGCACACCACTCGGCAGCTGCCAGTAATATCATTATATAGGTGAAAACCATAGTTAGTGGTAAACATCGTAGTTATTATTTTTACAGTGTTCTTTCCAATGACTGTGGTATTTATTGTAAACCACCTGGCAAATTTCTCTGCTTTTAGAAAAGTCTGGAGTAAACTTATTTTACCAGGCAGCTGAACCGTTTTCCCCGGCCTTATTTCCCTTTAGTTTTTGTTAGATTCCAGGTTATTTTTTTAAGTTTTAATATAAGCTGCATTATCATTAGAGTGCGTGGTGCTGTTTAACGCATTTCAACGATCATAAACTCATGTTTCTTTTCCTCGGGCGAGCTCAAGTAGAGCACGTGGTGGGCGCGCACCGCAACACTATACGGCCCGCTAGACTACCGATACTATACTGGTTTCCTCCCATAAGACCCGGTAAGGTAACGAAAAAAAAGAAAAACACGCACACAAACGAAAAAACCCGCTACACCTTAGAGGCACGCACGCTCACAGTAACAGACCACCGCATCCACCGATGCGCTTCGAACGACGACAAACTTCCCCTCCAGTGCCTTAGCAGTAGTCATAGACATGAACAATTGCAGAATAAAGCCTTATCTTCAATTCACTGGTAATCGTGTCAATGAACGTATGTCCAAAAAAATAAACTTTTTTATTTTAAGGTATTTTGACACGAAAACTATATATTCTGAAAATAGAGCGAAATTCAATTGACTCGATTTTTTTGGACATACGTTCGTTGGCACAATTACCAGTGAATTTTCGTTTGTGTTGTTGGACTGTATTCTAGGACTAAAATTTTCTCAAGGCATAATGCTTTAGTATTTCTGAGCACTGAGCTTCGTTTCATGTTTTGCGAACTATGCATTGAACAATTATATTTTTTTAAAAAAATTATACGTTTCCTAATATGAGACGACTAGCACTGTTCAATCCTTAGAATTTAGTTTGTAAGGTAGCGAAGCACTCGTCCGCTTTATTGTAACACAAAGCATTTGCTTTGTACTTCAAAGCAATACTTTGTAAGGTTGTAACTGTTTGGTAAGACCATTTGGTTTGTAAATTTGTGTTGGTGCGTCGGCTTTCTTGGCAACTCCTGCGCTCATTGAGTGTGCGCCACACCACACCACGCCCCGCCCCGCCATACCTTGCCACTTGCGGCCCTCCGCTTGGCCCCTCTGCAAAAGCAGAGAAGGAGGAGGAGAGTGTTCTGCTCTATAAAGGACGGCGAGGCAAGGCCAAGACCAGCTCGACCATCAGAGGCGTCGGCGCGCGGTGAGGAAAAGGGGGGGGGGGAGGGTTCACACGCGAATCACTGTGGTCAGAGGCGTGAAGAGCCCCCCTCCTTCCTCCACATCGCTCTTCTGCTGCTGCCTCTCCTCACGAGTACCGCATGCACACGTTCGTGTCGGTACATCGGTAATGGCTGCCCCACCCCTCTATTATTTTCCCAATTTCATGCGGTTGGACCGGAAGGCATGTTTGGCCGCCGCAGGACCTTTCTGAAGGCCCACCAATGTAGAGCCGCGAACACTTTGCAGCTCAATCATTTTCACCCAAGCTTGATCACGCGTTGCTGTTGCACGCTCGCTAAGCGTGTATAAGGGGAGAGCGCTGAGAGATGTTGCAGGCAAAGTGTCAATCGGGCCACGTGTTGCACGGCCTGACTGGCTCATTTACTTAACTGGAGCTGGGACACCTCCAGGGCTCTCCGGTCCTTTCCCCTTCCTTAACCCGTTAAGGCCGTCCCCGTATCAACACGAGGACAGGTACTTTTCAGCTGACAGCGCCGGCCGCGCTGGACCTTGTCCGGAATAACGGGTTGACCACGTTAGCGGCAGCCGGGGCAGGAGGTCCGTAAGGAGGGGAGGGGGGGGAGGGGCGTGACCACACAGGGGCGCCTCAGGACGCGCCCGGCGCACGCACGGCACGCCACTCCCACTTTCACGCAGAGCGGTATCGGTAGCCACGTCATGTCGGCCTGCTTGCTGATGATGACGGAGCACCCTGTTATGCCTCTCTCTCTCTCTCCTTCTCCCTCTCTCTCTCTCTCTCTGTCCCTTCATCTCTCGTCTGCCCCTTGCTCACCTCGTTGGCTCTCCTTTCCTGTACACAATCGCCACCCACTTTTTCTCCATCCCCCTTGTCTTTGCCCAGCCGGGTGTGCTCTGTATACGCGTTCGCGGCAAGTGCTCTGAAGCGACAGACTTTCTTCCTAATTACGCAACTGTTTGTTTGGCGTTATGGACACCAACGAAAACACTTGTTTTTCGTGTAAAAAACCTGTCGGAATTCGACGTCCCTCATAAATGTCTAGCAGAAGCAACCCTATTGTCAGCAGTGTGCATTTTACAAATTATCGAGGGGTTGTCAATTTTGATATTACACTCTTAATGAATTTCGTCATTTCACGATAATAATCTGTCACGAATAATTCGTAATTGGAATTAACGAGTATTATTCGTAATTTTCGGTTACGAACTGTTCGTAGCGGTGTAAAACAAACTATTCGTGACATCACAATTTAATTGTGTCAATTGATCAGGATGCTAGGATGTTTGTTTTAAAAATCCTTGTGTCCAGGATCGTTCATTTGGGACATTAACCGAGTTCCGAATTGTTCGTTATTCTACGAATGTATTCGTTACATTAAAATTACCAAGAGTGTGTGTAAAAAAATTAACTTGACATTTTTCGTGAGATTACGATATAATTTCCAACAGTGTACTTTGTTACAGCGGAATATTACATCAGTATTACACACATTACCATATACTACTATGATACTACATACTACCCGGTAATACTGCAATATTACAGTTATTATATTACGTCAATATTACATATTACTTCAGTACAAAAGGCACTAATTTTTAGCGTATCAGTGCCTCTTGGTCTAGCTATTCCAAGAGCATTCTGAGCAGATTCGTACGCTGCAAAACCAGTTCACTTCAAGTAAAGACTGTCTGACACTTCGATTTTTCGATAGTCCAACTTCAGCATCTATATAACATGTCGTCATGTTTGTATGTGAACCACGGTCATTAGAGCACGTGCATCGAAGTTTGAATTCTCACATGGAGTTTAAGATGAGAAGCTCGTTTGTAAGGGAGGAGAAACGGGTGTCCAGTGGTTAATCAGGAAGATGACTGGAAATAAATGAGAAATTACACGCTCTACGTACTGCTAGAGACTTGAAGTCCTGGCAGAGCGAGAGAGTGCTTCCCTAACCGAAGCTTATAGGTCTCTAGGGAGGGGAGATGGCAGTTAAGAACTATGTTAAATATTTAGACTAAACAAATGGTGGGTGCTTAAAAAGGAACAATCTTCTCCCGACTGGTCCAGTTTTAGAGTGACACACCGATCTTACATACTCCATTCTGGACATATACATCCCGTTATTCCTTTGATATTCTGTTGTGGAGCCGCTGTAATATGTTTAAGTGTACTTTGCGCGCGACTTGGCGCATCCGCAAGTTCGAAATCATCAGCCAAAGGACTTTAAAACACCCAGCCTCAAATGTATAAGTTATGTGTAGTGTTTTTTAAGTGTGCTCAAGAATGTCACTCATTCGTAAGTGTACTCACCAACAGCACTGGCGTTCTCATGATGACGGCGATGTAATCCCACAACTGGCTCTGAGAACTCACAAGGACCTGACGTCCACCGCACTAGCACTCACTGCTCTCCACCACAAGCTTTTCGTAGCACACACTCACTAGCACTTCACACACACGCTAGCAGGGGAACTTCTCCTGACCCTGACCCTATGTACGGCGTTAGTCCGGCGGCGCGGTCGCCTCGGGGCCATCCTAGGGGCGCAGCGACCAGGGCGGCCGAGGGCGAGGCACGGGCCGCGGGCACTCGGTACCGACACTCAGTGACGCCACGGGGACTACCGGCGCGGCCAGGACTGCAAGACGCACTGGAGGAGCCGGCGGGGCAGGCGGAGCCGCCGCGCCTGCACGCGCTGCCAAGCCGCCCGGCGGCCCAGCCGGCGCGCGCCCCGCCACGC